TAATGAAAAATTCACCGTGTTTTACGTGGTTCTTTCTAGCATGATTCTAACTATTGACACTTGCATCTCTGCAATGGTATTTTGGTGGTTTGTGTTACTAGCAAATAAAGAAATGAAAAAAATACACACCAATGGCTCCATTTTCCCCTCCGGCATTGAATAGACATATGCAAGAGAATCATGACACTTGCCTTTTAGCAACGCTACTTCAGTGGCACGTGCTGTAATTAGTATATAAGCAAATGAAAAAAATACACTTCAGTGGTGCATTTACCCCCGCCCCAGGCACTGAATAGACAACCAGTGTCAGAAGTTTAAACATAAAAAAATATAAAAGTAAAATCTGACTTGTTTCCTTTAATTTTATTTTCTTTTAAATTTATTTTTTGAGAATGTCATACATGACTACTTTGTTTACATTACTTTCGTCTCTTGCCTCCAACAACCCCTCTTTTTTACTCCTCCAATCATGACATCTTCTACTTTAATTATGCGTTTTACACACACACACATACACCCAAGAATAAAACCAGTTTGATTCCATTTACTGTTTTTCATATGTATTCATATTTAGACTGGCTACTTAAGATTGGAGTTATCCTATCGAAGACTGATTTTTTTCCTGTCTCAGAAGACACTAATTACTTCATTTAGGAATGGGTTTCTGTGGGATTACCCTATCCACATGTCAACTGCTGGCACCATTGAGCAGGTGTTATGTAGGCCACCATATTGTTTCAATTTCGTGGATGCAGTTTCCTCTGATATAAAGAGAACACTACCTTCCCGCAGATGGTCTTCTTGATGTTACAAACTTCTCTCTCTTCTGTGATGTTCTCTGAACCTAGAGTGTAAGAATTGTGTTGTGCTCATACCAAATGAAATTATATACTCCTGAGTCAATTGCCTTCTATATTTTGACCAGTTGTGAATTTCTTTAATGGTCTCCAACTACTGCATCATAAATTTTTTTTTTTAATGAGGGTTATGGGCTAATACTTATCTTTGATATAAGGTAAGTATTTAGAATGCAGTGAGAATTATAGCACTTTAGAAAAATAGCAGTAGTAGACTCTCCTCGAGGCTCTGTGAAATGATCTGTGGTAGGGTTGGCAGTACCAGGCATTAACTCCCTCATACTGAACAGTCCTTAAGTTGAGTGGGACAAATGTTAACCATCCCTAAGATTCAAGTGCCGCTAATGTACTGCTGGAGAAATCCTGCCAGCTTGATCATTGCCGTAGTTCATAGGGTTTACAGCTGGGGAGGACTACTGTTTACCCTTGGCAGCTGGCATAGAACTTTCAGGTAATAGGATTGCTAATCCTCAGGAAGGAGGCTTCCATGTCAGTTCCAGTCTGGTTTCTGTTAAGTCTTGTGTCCTGTGCCGTGTCTCGACTTAAGCTCTAGGAAACAACAAAGGACAATGACAATGGATATTTATCTTGAGAAGTCTGTTGGATTCCCCTGACCGACAAACTCACTGGAAGTGTGCTTGCCTACCACTGAGATTTTTGTTAGTCTATGGCTCTGGAGAAGAATTAACAGCATTAGTGGCATAGTGTATTTAAAATACACACATTTTCTATATATAAACATATTTCACACATATTATATGTATTCTATAAAGAAATACAAATTTTAAAAGCCACAATCTTTTAAAAATATAATAATATTTCTATATACCAATTGAAAACACAGTGAAAAAGATCATAGAAAACATAAATATAAAAATATAAATAAAGTATAAAATATATTTATATAAATATATATTTATATAAAATATAAATATAAAAGATCATAGAAATACCCCTGTTCACCAGAGCCTCAAAAAAGACAACCAAGGAATAAAACTAAAGAGGTTCCCATAAAAACTATAAATCTTGAAAGACAGAGATTTTATTGAGAATGACACTAGAAAATGAAAACTGTAAAGACACCATGCTTATGGGTTGATGTGGGCACTTAGTTTCCCTTGCACTGTTTTTTGAAGATTGCTGTCTTTTCTCTACTGTGTATTTCTGGCATTTTTGCTCCATATCAGATGGCTGTAATTAAGTCTACTCTTGTTTGCATCTTCTGCTTTGTTCCATTGATATACTTGTCTGTCTTTGTGCTAGTACCATGCGGTTTTTTATTACTATAGCTTTCAACTTCATCTTGAAATCTGGTATAGTAATCTCTCCAGCATTATTATCTTTGCTTAGGATTATTTTGGATATCTGGACTGTGTTTCTGCTTGCATGAGTGTGTGTAAGAGAGAGATATAAATTTTAGGAGTCTTATTTTTATTGCCTCTGTGAAAAATACTGCGGGGACTTTGATTTACACTGAAACTGTAAACTGCTCCTTTGGTATGATGTTCATTTTTTACACTATGAGTCCTACTAATCCATAAGTGTAGGAAGTCTTTCTATCTTCTGGTGTATTCCCCACTCTCTGTTTTCTGGGCTTTACAAGTTTCATTCTAGAATTTCCAATGTTACCTTGGTTAGTTTGATTCCTCAAGTTTTTCTCTTCCCTTGTTGTGTTCCATGATCTCTTTTTTAGTGTGTTTGTTCTTGGTATATAGCAATTTTAGAAAGACTACAATTTTTTAAACAGTTGTTTTTTTTAATTTTTTTGGATTTATTCATTCTATGTATCTGAATGTTTTGCCTATATGTATGTCTGTGTACCCCATGCAATCCTCATGCCTACAAGCAGTCAGAAGAGGGTCTTGGATTCCTGGTATTGGAGTTATGGATGACTGAAGATTACCATGGTAGGGCTGGGAATTTAGCCATAGGACCGGGAGTACAGGGATGATGCTGGATATTGAAATTAACATTTTTATATGGATATGATGTGTTGTGGGAAAAGTCTATTAAATGCTCATTTTGCCCCCCCCCACATACACATTTCCATATCCTGACTATGACTCTTAGAATAAATAGAATATTTTTAGAGTGTTCTACTGTGATTAACTATTATGGCTATTAAAGGAATTTCATACCTTTTCAAAATTTGACTTTTACATGTTGCCTTTTCCACATTGTTCTTTCTCAAATTTGTGCTGTAACTCAGTATTAACTTTATTCCTCAGTACTGACTCCTCCCATAACATGCATTACTGAACACATATAGTAGTAGGTATTCTGTGGAGCTGTAACTTTACAGGAGCTTCATTGCTAAATCTAAAGCAATCTGAAATGCCCTCCACAGAAGAGTAAAGTCTGAAAAAGGAGTATAAACAAAGGGACCACGAGAATAGTTTGTTGCCACCCTGCAATTATTGGCTGTAGAGTGATAACACAAATTACATATGTAGTACATTTTCTTGCATATATGACATAGAGATAAAAATATTTCCTTTTATCCTCTCAGAATTGGAATATCTTTATATACAAGAACACTAAGTTTAAAGACAAAGGACGACTTGAGTTTTCCTTCCTACTTACTGTCTTGTGTGAACTCTAACTCAGTGTCTATGTCATGTATTTAAGTGACAATAATATCTTTTAAATGAGCATTTCATACGCAAATTCCCCTATTACTTGCTGCAGTGTCTGACAGTTAGCCTATACTGCCTTATTTGTACCTGCTGTAAGTAGTGATAATTACCAAGGTAAACATTACAGTAGGAAAGAAAATGGAAATGTGCTTAAATGACTCCGTAAGTTCAAAAGCTGTATTTCTTTGGCTGATAGGTGTTTATTTATTACCTTTTGCCATATAAACATTGTCATATTACCTGTAGTCTACAACTTAATCACTCAGAGGTTTGGAGAGGAAAAAAAAAATGCTTGTACTAAATTGGAGCCGACCACAGCACCCAAAATTGACATATATTTAGTAACTAAAACATCAACAAAAATACATCATAAAACATCTTTTAATCTCATTTTGACTCTTAAAAATCTGCCGGGTTCCTATAATTTATGCACACATATCTATTACTAATTTTAAATAAGAAAAAAAGCCTATGTGTTTTAATTAAGGAAAATCAAATTATTAGCTGCTTGGAAAGAAAGAAAACTGAAGTCAATTACATAATCATATTTACAGATTTATTAGTAAAAGTTGTCTGTGAGAAACTGAATCAATTTAACCTTACACTATCCCCCAGAGGGGCTAGAAAAATTGTGTCTGCTCATCCTGAGGGGATTAGGAAGCCAACACAAAGCACTAACAGCTTCGCCTTTCATTATCTTCCAGTGCCCCTCTCCTCTGTAGTACTTTGCTCTGACTTATTTTCATGCACAGTATGAGGCCACAGACAAGTTGATGTCACTGTGTTGGGATTTCTCTCAAATGTTTCTGGCTTTTAATTACAGAATAGTAATTTGAGAAGGAAGTTACGTGGAAATCGTCTGTGCAGCATTCTCTCCTTTCTGGTTTGGCATTGCCACTTTGATACCATTCTTTGGCACACCTGGGCTTTCTGGATTGAACTAGCATCATTAGCTTCATTCTTCACTGAGCTTTATTTCCTGACTCTTGTTATGAAATTTGAACTTGTATCTCTTAAGGCCCTTCCTTCTAGTCATCTCCTTAACTTTGGTTATTTATGAATGTTAATGCCACAAAAAAAGCTCTGTGTCACACTCATTTGTACTCTAAACTGGCTTCAGAATCATTCCTTCTCTTCGTAGCTGAGGTCTCAGTAGCTTCTCCATCCCAACCTACAAATGTGGCAGTCTTGCAGAGTAATAAGACACACTTCGGATCTGTGTTCAAATTCCTGAGACCATGAGAGAGAGAGAGACATCCCTCATCCCTAAACACCACAGTCACTCTTAGGCTAGAAGGAAAGAGAGCACAGTGGGGTGGTTGCAGCTTGGAAACTAGACTATAAATATTTACACTAATTCAAAAAAACACCATCACAGTTGAGTGTACGCAAATACTCGCTCAGCAGTTCATGAATTAGAGAGTAATTAAATTTTAGTAAGCAGGAATTATTAGCATAGAATCATGTGACTCACCATCATTGTGTTTTTTTTTTTTTCACTTTGCAGGAAAAAGTGCAGCATTTACAGAAGGCTTTTGCGTCACGTGTAGATAAATCCACGCAGACTGAACTTCTAGGATGTGATGTAAGTAGCTGAATGAACCGTTTTTATCTCTTTCGTTGGTCTTCAGACTTACAGTTTCTTTGCCTCTGCTGTGGTACCCTATGCTGACTGAATAGTATTGGGCTGTGCTCTATTCATCACCCCTTCTGAAATAGTCTCCTGTGAAACTTTAAAAAAAGGAATTCCAGGCACCAAGTGGCATACCAAACTTTTTTTAAGTTTGTTAAACCAATACCTCTAACATGCTTTTCTGAGTCAGTGAATTTCTAGGCACATAGAAATATGTATAAGAATACTAGGATAATTTGTTTTAAGGAAAATGTTAATTTATTTATTAGAAATTTAATAAAGTTATTGTGTTTACAGTAACCTAAGGCCAAACATTATTTCTACATTCAAGCATGTGGGGGAAAAAAAACCCTCCAACTTTGCAGGCATTTTACAATAATGTTTTAGCTCTGGGACTTCAGTGTAGGCAATGCAAGAAATTTAATTAAAACTTAGTATTTTTTTCTTAATGTAAAATACTTGCTGATAGGCTTGTAAAATGTGTTGTAACCAAATATTCCTTCAGAAACCCTATATAATTTTGTAAAGCTGATCTAAACATCACTCTTTTCAAAACCATCACTCTGAAGTTTGTGGCTTTAAATTCCCTAAGCTAAAAAGTAAAGAAATTTTTTTGCTCATTGCTATTTGTTGGGAGAACCTTTTCTTACACTTAGAAATGGTGAGTAAAGTATCACTACTGTGCTCAAAGGAAACTGGATGCATGCAGCTTTGAGTTTTGTGAAGATTCCGCTATAATGATATCATATGCTTGCTTATATTTATATTTTATGTATCAGATAACATAAAAGTAGATGTTACTCTTGTTTCCATGCATACCACAACAATATTTTTGATATTTCACTACATGTCTGTCCCCCAGAATAAAACAGTTTTTAGCATAAATTGTTTTCAAAATGTAATTTTATATTTAACAGTACTAAAAGCTATGTTTTTCCTGGGAATTTTTCGCTAATATTCATTGTAATGTTTTCTTATAGATGTTTAAATATTCTGCAGATAGTGATATTACTACAGCAATGTTTCTAGCCACGTTTCATACGTTAGGTTCACGCTGTTGATCTTTATTTTTGAGAGACAATAGTTTTATAATTTTAAAACAGCTTACCACAAGTAATCCATTGTATATCTCTTTCAAGACACTCACCCCTCCCCAACATAACAATTGTAAATGTATATGTGTAAATCAGTTCTTAGGGTGTAATCTCAACATGTATTCTACAAGTCAGAGATGTTTCAAAAGCAACAGGTTTTAGAACCCATCATGAAAGCTGATGAGAACTTCAGTTTGTAACTGTCTCTTTTGAACTTGTTTCTCTGTGGCTCATTATGTTCTCTTTTTTAGGAACTTGGTTTCCTAAATATGTAAATGTAAATTATGGAAGGAGTCAGGAACACAGTTTTTCTGTTAAAGTCCTCATCATTCTTAACTTGTCTCCAGGTAGTGAAGATGGGTGAGCCCTTACCTTAGGCCAAGACAGAATACTTCCTGGTAGTAATTCCTAAAGAATCCCATGTGCAAGTGGCTTTTGCAGATTGGGAACCTGTTAACCCGTGACAGTACCATGTTCATGTTGATGTACTTAGCATTTTCTTGTCTGTTTTAATATAACACAACCCTTAGAATCAGCAAATGAATGACTGAATGTACAGAAACTTAATGAAATAATTAACTGCATGGGCAAAAACTGTAGAGTGCTTTCTATATGAAAATCTGGGGGAAGAAATAATATAAATAGATATAAAGTTAGTAAAACATTTTTAGCACGATGAATTACACATTAACAAGGACACATATGACTCATCTACATTTCTTTAGAAGCCAGGAAGATTCACCTATCAAGTTCAATTTTTATTTGTAAATAATTCAATATTTTCATATGCGACTTACTATTTTATAAGATTTTCTTCATAAATATTTCATACATTTTATATTAGAATTTTATAAACACACATATATATATTGCATCCATTCATAATTTTACTATAGCTTCTTAATTTAAGAAAGAAAAGAATTTTATAGAAATCTTGTATACCATTCTTGGTTCTTATGTTTTTACCACTGCTTTTTTGATGCTGTCAATATCAACCACCAGTTGCTCTTTATAGATCAATTGATATCATGTGTCAAAAGGGTTAATGTCTGACGGTAAAAGGCCTAGTCAACTTAGCATTCAAGACATGGCTTTTGCTACACATGCTACATAAGAAAGAACATAAAATATGAACATATGAACACAGAATGAAATATGTTAATAACAGACCATTATAAACAAATCAAAGATTTTTTAAATAAACTCTTCCATGAAGCAATTTTATCAGTATTCTTGAAAACTAATAATTTCTGAGGTGTCACCTGTTGCAGGATATTTGATCCCATTGTGAACCCCCAAATTGTGAACTGTAAGGCCCTGTTTCTTTGGTGTGGTTAAGCCCTATCACACCCTTTAATCCAAGAACTTTCTGTTTATTGTAAACCAGTGATTATGGTGTGGTTCACCCAGCCATAGCACACATCTTTAATTCAAGGGCTTCTAGTACACGGAATTTAGTAAATTTAACTCTAGGTCAAGAGGCAGAGCAAGAAATCAGCTGATGGGAATTAAAGAGTAGGAGGGACTTTGAATTGAGGGGTATTTAAGTGTGAAGAAGAAAGGAATTAGCTCAAGCCCTGGCTTTAGTTTAGGCTTCAGCTCCTCAGCACCCTGAGGAGCAAGTCTTTGGCCTTGGGATGTTTTTGTTTGTTTTCGTGTTTGTTTGTCTGTCTGTATGTATGTATGTATGTTTGTTTTGGCCTTTTGCTCCTGGGCTCTCAGCTAAGCTGGTGGGTTTTTTCCATCTAGACCTAAACTGAGAAGGAAGGTTAGCTGGTTATTTTCTCTGCCTCACTGAGCTAGCAGGATTTCACCTCAGCATCTGGCTCCCGAGTCTTTATTGGTATAATACAACAGTTGGGATTTTTCTTTTTTAAACAGCAGTCACTTGTGCTTTTGAAACTGTATAGAAAAATGGATGAGTAGAGTTGAAAAGGAACAATGTACACTCAGAGACCATGTCAACACATTGAGATATTTCTGGTTGCATCAATCATGTCAATAAAGGCCTTCTGATAACACATGCACAGCCTATACATATTTTGAAGACTGAGAGCTACTGCAAATAATATTTTAATTAAAATATTTGATAATGAGTAGCTAAATTCATCAGGGACAGTCTTAAATATTAGTGAGAGAATTTGGGGTTTCATTAATGTAATATCTTAGAGAAATATCTTACTTCTTTGCTATGTTTTATAGAATATTATTTTATAAATATGATTGACTTCAAATATAAATTTTCATTTCAGGTAATATATTAATTTTACTCACAATGATCACAGAATTTGTCTTTTAGCATAAAATTTTGAGTAAGGAGATTTATTACTTTCATTTGTATATATTTTAAATTTTTACAGAATAGATTATTAGAATTGAAGTTTTAAGATTTTGATCACTTTTTTAAATGTGAAATTACAAGGACTTCATCAGGGGACCTCTATGGTAGGCTCCTATCTTGTTCCCTTTCTTTCACCACTTCTGATGTCTATCCTGTTTGCCATTCTGAATGAGATTTAAGCTTCCTCCCTAGGGTCCTCCTTGTTGTTTAGCTTCTTTAAGTCTGTAGATTTTAGTATGGCTGTCCTATATTATAAGGCTGATATCCACTTATAAGTGAGCATATAGCACGCATGTCTTTCTGGTTCTGGATTACTTTACTCAGGATGACCTTTTCTAGTTCCATCCATTTGCCTGCAAATTTCATGATTTCCTTTTTTTTTTAAATAGTTTAATAGTATTGAAGCAGATGCAGAGACTCACTGCCAAACTTTGGGCAGGGCTTGGGGAGTCTTATGAAAGAAAGGGGGAATAGAAGGACCCAGAGAAGACAGGAACTTCAACAAGAAGTCCAACAAAACCAAACACTTTGGGTCCAGAGGGTCCTACAGAGACTGATTCATGAACCAAGGGCCGTGCACAGAGTGGACCTAGACCTTCTGCTCAGATGTAGCCAATAGGCAGCTCAGTCTCCATGTGAGTCCCTGAGTAACGTGTCATGAACTCAGCTGCTTGATCTTTGATCACTTTTCCCTGGTGAACTTGTAAGGCCACAGAGGAGGAGGATCCAGGCAGTCCTGATTAGACTTCAGAAGCTAGAGTCAGATGGCAGGGGAGGAGGACTAGGCAGTGGACTAGGCAAATGGGATAGGGGAAAGAGGGAGGGATGGTGGTACCAGGAGGAGATGAGAGAGGGTACTACAATTGAGATATAAAATGAATACATTTTTAAAATAAAAAAATTATAGAAATAAAAAAAGTTCTTCATCAATCTAGGTATTATTTAATGGTTTTCATTTCACTACTTAAAACTGATCAAATTGTGGATTCACTCATATCTTTGGCCCAATCCAGTATATAAGTATGTACATATATGTATATATGTACATATGTATAAATACACAGTTACATATGCATACACATATGCACACATACATATATTTGTGTTTGTGTATATATATATGTATACACATATGTATACATATAAGTAGGATTATCCTGTGTTTTTTATCTATTTTAACTTATTTTCTTAATGCAATTTGCTTTAAAGATGAAATTATTTCTTATAGGCTAGAAAAATAATAGCAAAATGTGTGTTATACTTGAAGACATTAAGAGAATTTCTCGGTATACATTTTCATGAATTTTGAAACTTCTACTGGCTTTTTTAGATTTCATTTTGGAGATTGTCCTTGTAGTTGGTGTAGAAAGATCTTTTAAATATATGAGAAGAGTTTTGCTGTCTTGTTTGGGACAGGAATGCTTGTGCCTGGCTTTTCCTGTAGTTGTTGGTTAGCCATGTTTGACAGAGGGAAGGTTGTTGTTGTTTTTTTCCATGCTGACAGATATATTATCACA